GCTCTGGCCTTCTTCAACAGCTGCCTCAACCCAATGCTCTACGTCTTCATGGGCCAGGACTTCCGAGAGAGACTGATACACTCCCTGCCTGCCAGCCTGGAGAGGGCCCTGAGTGAGGACACAGCCCAGTCCCGCGACACACCTGTCAATTCTACTTCACCCCCAGACGCTGAGTTAAAGGCCATATGAGGAAGGGGCTGGGAGACTCTTTGGAGCTCTTTCTTCTCCTACCTGGCTCCCAGATTAGCTTCCTCTCACCTTGAGTCATGCTTAGCCACAAGCATTTCCTGCTTATCTTAGGGTTACACACTCAAGAAAAAATCTTCACGCCACTGATGTTTTGGGGAAGGAATAGGCATGAAGATACTGTTGATGTGTTTTTAGTTTTGGGATTGTGGGCCTCAGCCTAGGGCAGGTTGTTGTTAGGTTGTATGGAGTCAACTCCGACACATGGTGACCTTATGGAAAACAGAATGAAACACTGTCCGGCCCTGGTGCTCCCTTACAGTCGCTGCTATATTTCAGTGCATTGTTGCGGTCCCTGCGTCAGTCCTTCTCATCGAGGGTCTCCTTTTTGTCTGCTGATTCTCTGCTTTCCCAAGCATGAGGTCCTTCTCCAGCCATTGGTTCCTCTTGATGACAAGTCCTAAATAACTGAGATGAACTCTCACCGCCCTCGCTTCTTCGGAGTGTAGGCAGATCACGCATGCTGCTTGGATCGAATCATTTCTGAAGGCTACTTATTATGCTCTGGTAGCATAGTGCCTAAGGCACTTGACTGCTAACCAGAAGGCTGGCAGTTCAAACCCACCAGCCACTCTTCAGAAGGAAGGTTGGGCAATCTACTTCTGTAGTGATACCGCCTCGGAAACCCAAGGAGGGGTTGCTGTGAGTCGGGGCAGACTCAACGGCACATAACAACAACAACAACAACAACAGCTATTACGCTGGAGTAATTCTCAATTTTGTCCACTTCCATCCTCAGAGGTGTTCTGTTGTCCTTCCACTCTCTCCTCCTGCCACCCCCATCCCCAGATTCCTGCCCTTTACAATACAGAGCCATTTACCCGTCATACCCTTGACTCTTTGAAGAGCTATTCCAGGTCTTTCTTTCCAATCCAGTCTACTCATCAGTGATAGCATCCTCCCTAAGAGGACTTTTGGTGCCAGCTCTTGAAGGAATCATTTAAAGTTTACCATGGGAATTTTAATTTGGTTGTAAATAATAAGAAAGAGAGCAGAAAAGGGGGACAATGAGAGGAAGAAAGTGAGTGGAGTTGAAGCCTAGGCATGTCCACGGTCAGTAGGTAGCAGAACACGCACTTGGTGGAAGACTGGTGAAGATGGCCATTTTCACTCCAGCTCGTGGCAGATTCCTGGGTTTAACTACATGGTGTGACCCTTAGATCAGCTCTCCTGTGGACCCTCATGGCCTTTTCTGTACAATCCCCCAAAATCTCTCTGAGCCTTGCATTGCGGTGTCCAGCATTTCATTTGATCTATTCCTCTAGCCCCTGAGTCCCTGGAGGGCACTGTCTGACCCTTGCCTTCCCCTGCACACACAAGTCCCCAATAAATGTTTCAGGACTACATCTTTGCCTCTGTCTCTCTTTCATAATTACCATTATAATTGTATTTCCAGCAGTAACTCTGGTGTTTTTTTTTTTTTTTGGTGTTGTGGTGAAAATATACTTGGCAAAAACTACACCTACCCAACAATTCCTAAAAGGAAAATTCAGTAACAGATTACATCCTTCAAGTTGTGCCACCGTTCTCTTTTCTAAACCATTCCACCACC